ATGGGTGCAATGTGTGAACCTCATTTGTGGTTAGATAATGTATTGTTGGAATATTGTTAAAAGCGGCGTAAAACTAAACTCACCCAATATCTCTCACTCTACTTAACATACAAAAGACGAATTAGACTAACGCTGAGTCTGTTAAACTATAATTTTGATGAAAATACCCCCAGATAAAATACCAAACAAATAATTTTATCACATGTATAATACAATTTTGTTTGGTCCAGATCCACTCGAGGAGAGCTATCTTGATCTACGTATTACTTATAATCTCGATTATCCAGGTCAAGAATTAACAACACTACTCCCATGTGAAAGTGGATGATTTGAATCAAGGTCAGGAAATACGTTGAGTCTTTTGCTTTGTTCATATGTTGATAAAGTAAACGTGATTGACTTCCCTTGTAATATTTCCACTATTGTGACTTTCGAGTAGCTTCCCTTCATAAATGCCACGCAACATGGTACACGTTACCCTAGATATTTAGGTCATATGACTTATCGTGATGTGTCCTGAAGTACAGTAATTATTCACCCAATCCGTGGATATGCTACAGAAACATTTTTGTAGCCCTTTCCCATTTTCCGCGATTTCCCTGAACTACTGGACAGTTTCGTAATGTACCGTTCAAGGGAAATTTGGAAACCAGGAAGTATACATTGAGATTTGTCGCCATTGTGCGAATGGTGTCCTTGCCCAATTTAGCCTCGTTTTGGTACAGATATGAATATTCATGAGGCCTCATTAAGAATGGACTATAGCGCCAGCTTATTAAAAGTATTTGCTCAACGGCGCTGAAGAAGAAAGTGGGGAGTTTAACAGATTCTCGTCATATTTTCCTGTATCTTGTCAATTACTTAAGTGCCTAAAGAGGTTGAAAGTTCAATGATATAAATGATTTCATTGGATGTTTTCCATATGGGCATGCTGGGATAAGCGTGAGGGAGTAAAAGGGCCAGGGCGCCGTTGTACAAAACAACCTTAGCGCTAAGACTACCTTAAGTCTATGTTAAGGTATGGAAGTTACGGTCACCTTAGCGCTAAGATTGCTTTGAACAACGGCACCCTGTTCCATAAAGGAGATTTAGAGCTGTTACCTTCCATGACACCCTACCACGACTACCAACGTTTGAAATATACTTTACTAATTCGTTAAAAGTTTGAGTGCAAGCTCGTGACACAACTTACACATTCACGGACACAAGAGGCCAAGCGGTTGTCTCCCTTGGTCGCGCCAGGATTTTGATGCTTGTGGGTTCATATCGCAAAGTCACTCCTGTTAGGGTCTTTGAACTATCATATATATATCGCGCGCGCATGCGTGCGCGTGCGTGCGTGTGTGTGTGTGAATAATTCCTGTATGCACCCGTGAAGATCTCAGTTACATGTGATCTTCAGCATCCCACGCTTGTCGTGAGAGGCGACTAACGGAATCGGGTGGTCACGTTCGCTTAGTTGGTTGACACATGTCATCGTATCCCATTTGCGTAGATCGATGTTCATGCTGTTGATCACTGTAATAGCGATTATTTACAGACCGCCGCCATATAGCTGGGATATTGCTGAGTGCAGCGTTAAACAACAAACCAGCCAAGTTCTTTAACTTTGCTCGTGGATTTCATTTACGGCATCCCTTTAAATGATGCATACATGTATCACTGCTCTTTTAACCGCATGTAAAATGTCTAAACTGATTAGAAAATCGTTAACCTAACTAATGACTAAATGTAAATCTTGGCGCTGCTGGAACGCTCATGATTTTTCACATTCCGCACCCCCGTCCCCTACCGCGGTAACGAGGTAAGGGAGTACGCCGACAATTAGGACCTCACATCCTCGAGGTTTAAAGTACGCCATTGAAATCTGCAGGATAAACTGTCCTTGTCAGAAAGACGAACGTTCTTCCTTGACACTGGAAGTAAAATGACTATTCATAGACCCAAAGAGAGCCCAATCGTTTTGCACCTAAACTGTGTACATGCTGTCGTTTGTTTCTCCCACTCACGGGATTGAATTACATTTAAAGACACCGTTTGAAGATTTATTTTGACTTCAGTGATTGATCAACGGGTTCCTAAAGGGGCATGTTGCGGTGACCTCCTGATTCTTAGATTGCAACAGAATTGTTTCCTGATCAATCTCATGTTTCTAAAGATGTTTAAGCGCGATCCCTCTTCAGCCATACTGATGTCATGCTGACACGCTCTGAAGTCGTATATGGCCCTAAATGGCCACAAAAAGTGACATAAACTTGTGATGTGTATTTGGACATTGTTAGTGTCTTTTTATCTGGCACCCTACCCTTTTTATTCGGTGCCGTGCCCTTTTTATTCGGTGCCGTGCCCTTTTTATTTAGCGCCGTGCCCTTTTTATTCGGTGCCGTGCCCTATTTATTTGACGCCGTGCCCTTCGTTTCATACAATAATTGATATTAACCCTTGGTTCTTTTTATTTTCTATTTCACGTGAAATAACTGTGCTCTTTGAGCCTTTAAGAATCACATGCATGAATAACTTAACATAATACTTGGGTATCTGTCATTGCATGCCCATTTTGGAATAGGGGTGCCCCTTTTGAAATTCTGTCGCCCTGCCATTTTGGGATCGTGGGGGAAACACTAATTGTTTAAATTCTTCATGAATAATTTTCTGAAGCTTGAATCCAGCGGAAACATTTGTAACATGTGTAAACCTTTATATTGACGTTGGACGTATTTCGACATCAGTGATGAGGGACCATCCGGACAGACTTCAGGAAACCCTGCCCACACGGTTAAGTATATGTATGTTCTACAACTAAAGTGAAATTCATGACTTTGTAAAATATCATAATTTGTATAATTGTCTATTTTGTACATGCATTGATATCATCAAGATGTATGTTTAAAAACTTTTCAATTGGCACACGAACGCGCGATGTATTGATCAATCTTATCTGGACTCTTGTCGTTCGGAATCCTTGCCTACAGGACGATATTAACGAGAAACGGAATTACCACTGATTTAAACGCTTCATAAATCCGGATCCGTACTGTCAGTTCCGACAGAAAATCACAACATGTGCATGTAGTTATAATTCAGTAACATCGACAAGTTACCCGCGAAGATCCCGGTTAGTATTGATCTTCAGCAACCCATACTTGTCGTGAGAGGCGACTAATGGGTTCGGGTGGTGAGGCTCGCTGACTTGGTTGACACATGTCATCCGTTCCCAGGTGCGCAGATCGATGCTCATGCTGTTGATCACAGGATGGTGTGGACCAGACTCGATTATTTACAGACCGCCGGTCGAAGGAAACGTTGCCGATTTGATATATCCCATATCGGGTGGTCAGACTCGCTGACTTGGTTGACACATGTCATCGGTTCCCAATTGCGCAGATCGATGATCATGCTGTTGATCACAGGATGGTGTGGACCAGACTCGATTATTTACAGACCGCCGGTCAAAGGAAACGTTACCGATTTGATATATCCCATATCGGGTGGTCAGATGCTTGTGACACATGATCGCTTCAATTGCGCAGATCGATGCTCATGCTGTTGATCACAGACGTGTGGTCCAGACTCGATTATTTACAGACCGCCGGTCAAAGGAAACGTTACCGATTTGATATATCCCATATCGGGTGGTCAGACTCGCTGACTTGGTTGACACATGTCATCGCTTCACAATTGCGCAGATCGATGCTCATGCTGTTGATCACAGGACTGTGTGGTCCAGACTCGATTATTTACAGACCGCCGGTCAAAGGAAACGTTACCGATTTGATATATCCCATATCGGGTGGTCAGACTCGCTGACTTGGTTGACACATGTCATTGTATCCCAGTTTGTTTGTTTGTTGTTTAACGCCGCACTCAGCAGTATTCCAGCTATATGGCAGCGATCTGTAAATAATCAGCAGTAACAGGATTAGGGGGGGACTGGATGAGTGAGTGAGTTTAGTTTTACGCCGCACTCAGCAATATTCCAGCCATATGGCGGCGGTCTGTAAATAATCGAGTCTGGACCAGACAATCCAGTGATCAAGAGCATGAGCATCGTTCTACGCAAATGGGATACGATGACATGTGTCAGCCAAGTCAGCGAGTCTGACCACCCGATCCCGTTAGTCGCCTCTTACGACAAGCATGGGTTACTGAAGATCAATTCTAACAAGGATCTCCACGGGTATAAGTAGAAAAAACAACCAACTGATTTAATGACATGTAGGATTTTCGATCGACTTGTCTCACGTCCACAATTATGCTCAACGCTCAAAGATCGATAACCCATGGCTTTATATTTAAAAAAAAGTTAAGAAATGAAACCAGAAATAATTCGCTTTCCACATAACTGTTAATGGGTTCCCATACATCTTCTCTTTCAAAATAAACATATTGCGTTTTTGCCCAGATTCATATTTACAACACGGTAGGGGTAATGTGGTTGCACATGAAATTCCGTGTTGTCATTCAAGAAGTATATTTTTACACAAAATCGACAGATTACTTTTTACAAACTGTTGCAGGAATGGGTAATGGTTGAAGCAAAACACAGTTCTAGGACTTACCAAAGATATATCAAATCGGTAACCTTTCTTTTGACCTTCAGTTTAAGCACACCGTACATGTACACTGTAGTTGGTAAATGCCCATTGCATCCCGTCGAATATTCAGTCACGTGGTTGCTGAAGTACAAAAGAGGAGCAAAAGAAGGTTTTCCCCTTTTCTGAATCCCAGGAACATTTATCACCATATTTCTTTTACTTTTGCCACGAATGAGTTTTATCATTTGAAAAAATTGTATATTCATTCTTCGGTACGAAATGTAATAGGTTCATAAGTCACGTTTTAAGTTTCCATTGTTTTATAGAAAATATTGATGTTTAACTTGGTGTCAAAAGCCCAAGGGTTTTGATTTGTGAAATGTAGCGTGTTGAAAATGCGTCACATGATTTTTGCGCTTTTACTTCGCAATTAACAAGAGCGCAGGTTTTGCACGCACTGCACGTGCAGCAATCCTAAACATTTATCGTGGCAAGACCAGACTCACAGTTGCTTCAGGACGGATGGGCGAGGGCAGGCGGATATGTCGGGGTGAGAACAAACTTGAACCAAACGCCAATTTGTTCATTTGTGAATACAATCACATATCTTGTTCACTCATTCGGCATATAAGTGTAACCTTTGTTGAACTAAAAATCTCAGATTATCAAAACCACAATAAGCTACATTCGCCCGACATCACATGACGCAAGCCGAACGACGGAGTGTAATGTCGTCTGTCTCGCTCACAACAACTCGCGCCGTCCAACACAAATCGATCGTTACTGTGCAGGCATTGGTCTCCCAAAGTATACTGGTTCCTGCGATAAAATTGTTGACTGGTGGATGATTTTATTCATCAGTTGGGGCTGGCCGTGGCTTCGCCTGTTGCTCAGCCGTTTGAGCTCAGCGTGGAGAGGAAGTTCACGTATATGGCTCCCGTTTGGCGTTCATTTAGCAGAGAATCATTTGATGGCCTCGGGATATTTTTGTGAAAAAATATTTTGTCATGAAATTCTGAAAAACGAAATTATGCCTCAGGTGTTACTTTGCAAGACAATAGTCGCAGAAGATGCTGGTTGTCCGGAAACAGCATTGTGGGGGTGAAAATAAATGCTCGACACTTTCTAGGAAATAAATTGATTTGTGAAGTAAAAAATGAGAAATGTTCTCATTCAGAAATCCCATTTCTTCTTATGAGGACCACAAGGACATTAGATGTACTGTTCTGCCAACATGTTTCTATACTTACCGACGTTCTTCACAGATGATTACTTTGTTCAGCATCATATCGATTACTATCGAGTCCCTTCTATCGAATGTACCTATATATCGAATCTATTATCCGGTTCGGAACGCCTTATAACAATATGTACAGATTTGCCGGTTCTCTCGAATTCGATATGAAAATACACACCAATAGCAATATCTCGAAACTTGGACTCATTCCCATCTTTGACTTTAGCGATTTATGTTTGCTTACTTGAGGTTAGTATTTGAATGTCAAGCTCAAAATCCCCCAAAAAAAACAACAACAACAACAACAACAACAACAACAACAACAAACAAACAAACAAAACATACCAAAAAACAAAACATACCAAAAAAAATAAATAAAAAAATTGGCAATTCTGGAAGCTTTTGCAGAGGTACGGATAAGTTGCGTATCTTCGTAAATTACGCAAATATTTATGTGAAAACTCAATTCTTATTAAGTCTATTGGGTACAAGTACGCTTGAAGTTTGAGAAATACTCAATAAATGTGATCTTACATGCGTACACATGAAAATGTGAAATCTTAGCTTGCGTACCGGTGGATAGATAAAATAACTGAGGTTTACTGAGAGGTTCTATTTCGGGATATGAACTTGACAGCTTGCAGTCTTCCTTATCGATCCTCTATTACAGATCAAATATAAATAACAAACACTAACATTTAAACTTTATTATATTTTTAAAATGAATGGAAAATGGCAAAATACTCAATAGAGTTTGAGTGAGGTGAGTACAATTTATTTGGTTGCTCAAAGAAAAATTAGGATACCCAATTGAGATGAACACAAGCGAGTACATAACTCAATGACCCAAAAAGTTATCTGTAGCTCTGCTTCTGGTTCCTTCCTCATACAATCATTCCACGTCGCTGTAAAAGTACAGCGTATCCGAACCTTCTGTTGAACCAAATCTGTACTCCTCTGCTAATCCGATTAATAGTAAACCTTATTGACCAACGCATCAGGGCTCGCTTGATTCCACTCAACCTGTTTATCGTTAACCTTGGGTACCTTTATAAACAGGATTCGGCTTTTCTTTGATCGTTCATGTTTCCAATAAAATTACCTTTGATGCCTCAATTTGATTATATTGAATTCTGCCAGTACCTTGTCTTAGCTCCGGGAAACATCGAACCAATTGTTACATTACGTTTATTAATAATGGAAAGTTGTGTTATTTATTGATAAAGATTGTAAGTTTTGTGTTTAATATCAGTAGACATCTAGCGTTCTCGTATACCCGTTTTTAGAGAAATCTGGTCACGACATGATCGAATCATTGCAGGTATGCCATAACAAAAACAATACTTCCGTTAGGTGGCCACCATTACAACATTGACAAGTTCCTGCCGTTCAGTGACCGCCTCCGTGGTGTAGTGGTTAGAGCGTCCGCCCGGAGAGCGGAAGGTCGCGGGTTCGATCCCCGACCGCGTCATACCAAAAGACGTTAAAATATGGTACTTGTTGGTTCCTGCCTGGCGCTCGGCATTAATGGGTACAACAAGGACTGGTCGGCTCGGAGTCAGTATAATGTTTCTGAGTGGGGTATTCATACTTCACTGCGGCATGGTATCTCAGTGGACTAGCACTATAAAACCAGCTTAAGTCTGAGCTAGTACAAGCAGCTACACATACACACGCATGCACGTCGTCATATGAGCGAAATATTCTGAAGCACGACGTTAAACCCAATTTCACCTCGCCTCCTGCCGTTCAGTGAATTAATGCTCGGGTGAAGATAACGCTCGGAACGATTTTCTGACTATTTCTCTCATGTATTCCAACTTATAGTCCGTTTGGGTTCAAATCAGAACGACAAATGATTAAATAACTTGAAATTGGGATAAGTGCACAAAACATGAATAAGACACATGGCCCTGAAATCCCTGTACCCAACAGGATCTGTTCCACCAGCCGTTTGTCACCCCTCGGTGTGAAGCGTGAAAATAGAACAGTATTACATGATGGTTTCTTAAACAACTTCTTCCGTGATTGATCATAAAACGTCAGATTTCAGAGTACAGAGGTTTCAGGACCATGTGTCTTATTTTTGTTTGTGCACTTATCCCTATTTCGAGATATTTAATCATTCATCGTTCTCATTTGAACCCAAGCGGACTATACTTGCTTGATGAACTGTGCTTACTGCTAACACAATGTCGTGACCCGTGAAGGTACGTGTTAGAATGTGCCTTCAGCAACCCACGCTTGTCGTAAGAGGCGACTAACGGGATCGGGTGGTCAGACTCGCTGGCTTGGTTGTTGACACATGTCATCGTTTCCAAATTGCACAGATCGATGCACAGTTGATGACTGGGTTGTTTGGTCCAGACTCGATTATTTACAGACCGCCGCCATACAGCTGGAATATTGCTGAGTGCGACGTAAAACTAAACTCACTCACTCGTAATTTCGTAAACTCTTCGGGAACTTTCATCCTATTTCCATAAAGTCACAAACGCCGAATGGTGGAATTGTCAGTGGCAGATATGGGATTGGAAAATGTTCGACCATAACGTAAAGGATCTGCTAAATTGGGAAACACAAACAGAACGATAGTCGTGGGAATAGAAATATTGAGATAAACATAGTGTTTTCAATTTCTGAAAACCTGCAACCAGTAGTTCTAAAGGCTCTTAATTAAATTCGAAACATCGGCGCAGCTGATGAATAACAAATTAAACACGATGTCTTTCCGGTTAGCGTTGTGTTAATGCATCGTGGGATCAATCCCTTGTTTCAAACTGGTTCCTGATGGTTCTTAATCACCCATAACAGCCTTTGAACAAATAGTGGCGCTGTGATGATTGAATCTGGTTTAATATGTTTACGTCACTAATGTTTACACGCGTATAAGGCATGCACGCATGTAATTTTGTCTGCAAATACGCGGGGGCGGTGGGATAGCCTAGTGGTTAAGGATTCGCCTTTCACGCCGAAGACCCGGGTTCGATTGCCCAAATGAGTACAATATGTGAAGCACATGGTCGGTGTCCCTGCCGTGATATTGCTAAAAGCGGCGTAAAACTATACTCACTCACTCGTACGGCAGCATTAAATGGGCACAGAGGAAATACACTGTAAGGTGTAGCATTACACAGTTCGTCACCTAGACCTAACCCTCATTCTGATCAGGAAAATGTGACGTCACAATTGGCTAAAGAAAAGCGACAAATGTCAAGATCTCGCGTTCCCCAAATGTTTGTGATACAAATTTCCAAATGTGGATATCCATTCATTAGAAAACGGGGAACGATACTTTTCTAGTCGCTGTAATACGAATCCCAATTCGCCCCAATTGTATTTCCAGGTGTGCCGGCACCGTACCAATGGGTTTGTGGGTTTTACTAAAGTGGTAAACATCTACATTGTAAGACATGCATGACTTCGGAGTTCACTGCCACATGGTGCTGAAACGCCGACATAAAGCTCGAATATTGTTACAAGCGGTATTCAAATCGCTCACTCTTTCTGCTATACTTGATCTATGTAAACTTTATAGTTCTATTTCAGATCTACAGTCGTCATCATTTTAGCTGTCATTGTGGTAAATATGCAACTTTTAGATTTATTCTAACATGTGTGACATTATGTAGGCGACGCCACATGCCGAGTCATTTTACCTGTTCTTGCATGCGTTTCAAGAGGCGATTGGACTGTTCTGGACGATGTTCCAAGTGTAATCTGTAAAGATGACTTATATTTAACAACGTGCTTAGCCATAGTTCAGCCAGAAGACTATCGTCTGTAAATAATCGAATCTTGACCAAACAGTCTAATGACTGCGTCATGAGCATCAGTCCACGCATTTCGAATACAATCACATGCATCAACAAAGTCGGCGAGCTTGACCACCTTTCACTGTTAGACCCTCTCACAGCAAGACCCGTTAAAATCCAGGTTAGAATTGATCTTCAGTAACCCATACTTGTCGTAAGAGGCGACTAACGGGATCGGGTGGTCAGGATCGCTGACTTGGTTGACACATGTCCACGGTTCCCAATTGCGTAGATCGAGGCTCATGCTGTTGATCACTGGATTGTCTGGTCCAGACTCGATCATTTACAGACCGCCGCTATATAGCTGGGATATTGCTGAGTGCGGAGTAAACTAAACTCACTCACTCTTGAAAATACGCAATGCCATTTTAGAAAGTGGTCAAATGTAACATGTGTTATATTTGGGATTACACTTTCTTAGTAAAGTAAATCTGTACTTTTACTAAGAAAGTGTAATCCCAAATATAACATATGTTTCACTCACTCTTACAGCAAATATGGGTGAGACCCAATTCAAAACCAGATCTTCATTGTCCGTGGTAATGTACTTTATAACTATAGTATGGGTAAAACTTTTTTTTTCTCATTTATATGTTTTCGCAACACTCGGCTCATTTAGTATTTGCTGCAAATGCATAGCGTTGTATATCCTTTCTTGAAACCTTTGAGAACGGTAATGGCAGTTAAGTCCAAACTTCGCCGGGATATGTCAGTGTTTTTATTCTCTATTTTAAAAATATATATTGAATTCGTGAAGTCATACCTGAAACAATGTCATTGTACGCAATTCTGTAACGTGAAGTTCTAAATTTTCAGACAATGCCTAATGCTGCAGTACCGATCGGTTACATAATGAAAGGTACGTTGGCCTGAAAATAAATTTTTGACGTTGTAATTGTTATGAAATATTTCTCGGCTGGTTGATTGTTGTTTAACGCCGCACTCAGCAGTATTCCAACTATATGGTGGCGGACTGTAAACAGTCTGGACCATACGGTCAAGTGATAAACAGCATGAGCATCGATCTACGCACTTGGGATACGACGAGGTACACCTGTAGAATAACGCATACCTACCAACCATATTCTTTAATTTTCTCACATTTTACTTTTATAGGGCAGCACGAGCTATAAAATTCGAAAAAAAAATAAGGGAGCATCAAAATAAAAAAATAACCATTAAAATCGGATTAACGACTTGCCGGTAAGTAAAATTAACCAACGAGTTTTAAAATGAAAGGTAATTTATCACAAATAAAACAAAATAGATTGTTTTTTTGGAAAACTGAAATTTCAGGGAGCGAATGAACATTTTTTTTGTGACAGGTAAGTGCTCAGTGATTAGTCAATTTGTGTGTACGTCACAGCCTAGTAACCGCCATGTTTGCAAGTGGGGAGCACAAACCAACAACATCGAGTCCTCTTGGGATGCGGGGCGGTGGGGTAGCCTAGAGGATAAATCGTCATGCCGAAGACCCGTGTTCGATTCCCCACATGGGTAAATATTTCTCGGGCACAGATGAAACAGACATTTTGAAATCGCAAGAGTTAAAACGTTATACAGCTACTTGCACAAATAAACGTTAGCTACGGTAAAAATATAATGAAACACTTTGAAATAATATATCAACATGTAGGCCACTGAAGTTAAGTTTAGCGAATTAAACCCAACATTGTATGGGTTCGACTCCGAACGATGTGTTTGAAAATGGACATATTTTTTTACATCGATTTAAGGTTGATGGCCCTTTCAAAAGGTCTCAGTATGGTGCATGTTTACCCTGTCATACCAAAATATACCATGCAAAAAGGTAAGTGATATTCCATTTTTCGACCATACCACTAGCCAAAGCTTATGAGAAAAAGTAATATATATCCATATAGATGAATCATTTCCAAAGGAATGGAATAAGTTGTGACATTTTCCCTTAATTTCTCTTCATCATCTGTTTCCTACTTGGACTTCATCATTTGCAATCTATCAATCTTGTAAAATCAAATGTCCCCTACCTTTTTGAATGGTATATAATAATCAAATATAACCATGTGTTTTGATTATTTGGTGTGACAGGGTATACATGCAATGTACTGAAAAAGTTGAAAAGGCCCTCAACCTTACATGTTTAGAAAATATGTTTAATTATATATATACATTGTTTGTGCAGTGGAGAACCTAAAACAAAATCGAACAAAAATATCTGACATACATTTTCAAAGGGGGACCCAGTTATCATTTCATATGCAAACCCGACATCGCATCCCGTTACCGTACGTAGCTTACTTGGAGGCATGTCTGGCTAAAGCAGGTTCGACCGAAATCTATTATGAGTTCGAATCCCGTTTCTTCCAGCTTATCAGTTTGGGCGTCCTCCAAAGGTTACCAGACATGACGTGAAATAATGACAGGAATAATTTTAAGTCATACTCTCACAACATAAGAAAGTAATTATAACTGTCACAATGAGCGTGAACAATGAACATATAATCTTGTCAAGTGCTTTTACATCCTGCAGTGAAACCCTCGTGTGGCAGTGATGGCATCTCGGATGCTGTGGTGACGGTCATAACAGATCTTCAGGCTGAAGCAAGGGGCAAGTGTTCGGGGTCGAAGACGGTGCCGTTCACCAGCCTCGACGGAGTCCACTTCACCCTTCCGGTCTCCTACCCACAAGGGTCCTCCCTTTGCAAGTTTATTGTACGTAGTTTATACCCATTCCTATTTATATGTTGATAATGATTGCTATGCTGGTGGATTTACTTTAGGAGTAAACCGCATTTTTCGCTGCGGGCGTCAATGACATTGGGCTATTACTGCTGGACATCTGAGTCAAAGCTCACTCACTCACTCTGCTCCATGCCCCTAGTTTGCAACATGTGCAAGGTCGGTTGTACTTCTTGTTATCATGCCTAGAGATCGGCATTAAGAGTCAAAACTAGGGGTGTCTATTGAGAGGGAAACAGCTATTGCCATAGCGATAGTCTATTTCGACCAACTATTGCAATAGTTTTTTCTCCTTGAATTGTCTCATTTGAAGTCATTACCCAAATGAATGTATAGTTTATAGGAAACAAAAACAACTTGAAGTGTTTCAGTCTCTTTAAATAACCGACAAGAAACCTGAAACCAAGATCAAGTAAACAGTCTCAAAGAAGCTGCAAGTCAGCACCCAAACATCCTGTATTTTTGCGCTTGGATTAATTACTGTCGGGGACTCAACAATTGTAATCCATCGGTAGTTCGATGCATCGTTACAACCCCATTCAAAACAGACTGGTGTCAGTATTTCAGTCTGAGTAGGGTACCGATTTCCATAGCGACATGTTCTATATCCACAAACACGCGCACACACACACACACGTGCGCATACCCTGCATAATCACGTGCAACAAGCATGATTGCGACATTAAAGCATATTGTAGCTCACCTTTCATGTTTTTCGCGTTTACACTAACTAGATACATGCAGAAATAGTTTCTTTGTATATATTTTTGTTTATTGGTTTTATTAATAATTAGTTTCCAACTGTTCCTCAGTGAGTCCGATGTATATCCAAGATAACTCAACATGATCATCAAATCAGAACCTAATCCACAACATAAAATCAGCGATCTGTCCGTTCTTAACTTGACATTTTTATGCTGTCAACCAATGTGACTGAAATGCCGTTTAATTATGAAATACGGAGGGGCTTTTAAAGTGTAATCGTGCCAAGAAATGGGAGTAGGCCAGTGTTTGTTTTCTGAAATCGCTGATACTTTAAAACGCAATAAAAATTGTTGCCGTCTCAATTGAAAGTATTTTGTTTTCATAGGTTTGGCAGTTAAACAAACCATTAAGAATTCGAATCGTAAACAAACCCTAGCCTTTTAGTCAATGACAGTTTGACGATTGTTGGGGGAAATATTGGCAATTTTGGAAAGTTTTAAAGTTCTCTTTGAGAATAAATGTGTCTGACAAGATTTGTAACACTTGGAAATGGTTTTAATCTCATCTGCAAAATGTGTGTATTTTTGTTATTTGTTGAGAGCCATTTTTCATGATAACGGTTATAAGCCGTCACAGCAATGTTTATGTACCTTCTGAAGTAAACGAGTGCCTCCATTCATACAGCATGTATAATTTACATAAATGTACCGTTGAGCGGATATACGGAGAGTGATGATTTGATCCCGCCCGCGTCACACAAAACGATCTTTAAAAAATGGTATTTGTTGTTACCCTGCCTTGAACGTGCATGAAAGGGACACAACAAGGTTTGATCTTCTCGGAATCAATATTCTATGTCTCGGTCGAATATCGAATCCCTGTGGGCGAGGGGAACATAACAGGTACAAATCACACACGCACGCACGCACGCACGCACGCACGCACAAGCGCACTTACATGCCTGTGCGTCGCTATAAAACGCAGTTGTCATGAACGCGAAGTTGAGCCCTATTTCCCGTTCCTCAATTCGCTGCTAAAGCAGCCGACGCACGCAGCCCTTAGACCATCCACCCTAATCTGGTCAGTCAGAACTACTCTTGTCATCTCTCTGTTTAAGTGAGTGAGTCTTTATCGCCGCTCTGAACACTGCTTCAGCAACCTCACGGTGTCGGCAACATTACGGCATGTCAGCTTATATAGACAAACGCCTGAAGGGAAAAGATGATCATAAATATTGACTATCTTGTGGAAACCCTTGAGCTCAGATATTATGCTGACAAATGGAAAAATGCAGCGAATTTTGTTTCTACACCTTTTGTATAGAATTGGGAACCATTGCTTATAAAACAAGTGACATATCGGACAAAAAGTAACTTTGATCGATTACAACAGAAATGCCTTTAACAGACTTCGAAACAGTTTTTAGCATTACATGTCATCGGGATAAACATTACCGATAGCTTTTCGTTAAATAGATTTCCCAAGAAAAGGCATTTTTTGCCAAAGGAGCTTCTCTCACCTCCCGTGGGATGGTCCCTTCAAATCATTTCTGAAAAAACGTTGCTTTTTCCTCCAGCAATATGTCTGAGACTGAGAGGAGGCATGTCACATTGATTTATGGGGGCGAAAGGTACACTGTTGAGGCAGCAAGAACATATTCCTTGGCAGAAATATTCATTTGAAGAGGTATTGTTTGTTTTCGCCAACCATGAAGAGAAGCATACGGCGCTATAAGAGACGTGTTTCGTTTTTTCCGCTCTCGATGTACATCGTTAAGTCAGCACGTTAATGTTACCATACCCTGGTATGCCGTTACGGCGATAACAACGCGCACCTGGCGGCCGTACAACAGCTTTTACCTTCTTGAATCTGGCACGTAGTGGTGTTTATAATACTTCTGTCGTCAATAAAATAATAACCAAAATAATAAAGTATCCATAAATTGTGACAGCACATTATTACCAATTTGTCGAAACATATTCCTTAACGTATTTTTGTGATTATTTTAGCACATTGAACTAAGATAACCAACGTAACAATAGCAATTTCGTAATTTCATAGAGACGAAACAAGTCAACCAAACAGAACACCTACCTCTAAATGCGCTCTTTCGAGTCTGAAGTTTTTAGACTTGATGGTCCCAGTCCTAATTGCGTACATCGGTGCTCATGATGTTAATGACCGGGTTGTCTGTTCCAGACTCAATTTTTTTTACAGACCGCCGCCATATAGCCAGTATATTGCTGAGCGCGGCGTTACACACAACAAACAAACTTTATGGTTACGGACAGAAACATCAGTATTTCTAAAAAGGTTTGAGAAAATATCAGAAATGCAGTCTTGAAAAGAAACCGGGAGCTTCCTGTTAAGTTTTGCGTTTGTCGAAATTGATTTTGTTGACCATCGTCTACATCAAGGAAACTTTCGTGCCACAATGCTGAAAACATCCGCCCCTATCATGGTCACCATGACAGAGTTGAAGCCAACTGGATATGATTTCGTTCTTTGCGAAAAACAATCAAACGTTTCGATCGACATGCTGGCTTTCAGCAAATTGAGCTCAGAAGTTTTAAGTAACTCTTACATAGAGGTTCAACTCCTCTTGGCTCTAGGGAGTATATGTTTGATGTGCCTGAACGTCCTCTTCATCAATTTCGATATTGATGCCTCAAACTTAAATACTGCGTCGCCTGTTAGTCGTCTCTGTAGTTCAGTATTTATAGGCAACGTGTCTACGGGGCAGAATTTGAGAATTGGGCTGAATTTGAAAATTGCTTGTCATATTAGGTGAGGTGCCGCAATTCGCTTAGCTGAGCTGCAACCGGTGTATGGATCAGGGTGCCCCTGTACAAACCAACCTTGGCATTTTGTACAACGGCACCCACAAATGTTATGAGTTCGAATATCGGTTTTTCAAGATTGTTTCTATACTTGACAGCACCAAATCCATGCTCTAGAGATTCATAAGGGGGCGGCGGGGTAGCTTGGTGGTTAAAGCGTTAGCTAGTCACGCCGAAGACCCGGGTTCGATTCCCCACATGGGTACAATGTGTGAAGCCCATATCTGCTGTTCCCCCGCCGTGATATTGCTGGAATATTGCTACAAACAGCGTAAATCTAAACTCACTAAACTCACAATAAGCTGATGTGCCGTGATATTGCTTGAATACCGTTTGAGTACGTAAACTCACTCACTCATCTACTCACTTGTTTGGCTTACGTCTCAAAGAAGTCAATGTTTTTATAGCCCTGTGTGTTTAGGTACACATTAATACATGACTTGACCTTCCATGTCTTTCGCTGATGTTCATATGCAGGCCAAAAGGGGCGACATAACGATTCAGCACTTGTGAAGATCCGGGTTAGAATTGATCGTCAGTAACCCATGCTTGTAAGAGGCGACTAACGGGATCGAGAGGTCTGGCTCGCCGACTTAGTTGACACATGTAATCGTATCCCAATTATGTAGCTCGATGGATGTGCATGATGTCAATCACTGGATTGTCTGGTCCAGACTCGATTATTTACAGTCATATATCCTGAATATTGTTGAGCGGGGCGTTAAAACATAAACTGACGTATTGACGTATGAGGCAACCCACAGGTTCGAGCGGTCAGGTGTAATGAATGTCATGCCCACAGATCGATGTTCATAATGTCAGTCTGTGGAATGTCTCTTCAAGACTCGATTACCTGCGGCAGTAAACAACAAATAGACAATTGCCAAACTGATCTAAAACTCGCTCCCTAATGTTCCAGGAACGTGGCAACGCGACAAAAGTGTACACAGTGAAGGTGATTGTTGCTTTTGGCGAATCCGGCAACCCTCTCCATCAAGTCGAGGAAGAATACAGAGTCACGTGCACTTTTGGACCAAATGGCAAGGGAGCTAGCAAACAACACAAAATTGGTGACAGGTGAGCTCCTGGTACGATCAGTTTAATAATACTGGCAGCCGATTAGTTTGTCCGTAAGTACGAGCGTTCTTTATTTCCCGAGTCAATTCTGTAAGGAAGGATAACATATGGATGAACTACTACTATAGTCAATGAGAGCAACGTTTTGGTTTAGGTTCTGACAGCGGTGTTAAGCAAGTGATTGGTATCCTTCCTTACTGAGCCAACTCCTAAATGTCAAAGACGTTAGTCAATTCCGTTTGAGGTTTTGACAAACCGGAAGGCAAGAGGACACCTACGAAAGTGTATTTATGTTGAATGTTTTTGTTCTCATATCAATAAGTGGTGGTTTAGTATGAATTTGTAAGGGCCTTATCTAGGATGGGGACTAACAGAAGTACTCATTTGTACACCTTTACCGTGTTAATCATTCCAGTGTGGGAACATATCCCAAGCCACTGGGTTCAAAAGCATGCAATGTCAACACAATCTCTGGGTGTGAACTCATGGTTAAGTGAGATATCACAGCTGGGTAGAAAATGTCCAGCTGCTGCAGTGACAACGCCCAACGGGCACCACCGCTCGGCACAGTGTTCCTCAGCCTGAAAGTCAGCACAAGCCTGTGTGGGTACAAATGTGTAGATGGTCCCTCAGTCAAGACGACCACCATACCTGAGAAGGAACAGATGGCTTGTGGGCGCCACCGGTTGGCACAGTGTCCCCCAGGCTGAAGGTCAGCGCATGCCTGTGTGGGTACAAATGTGTAGATGGCCCCTTAGTCAAGATGACCACTATACCTGAGAAGGAACAGATGGCTTGTGGGCGCCACCGCTTGGCACAGTGTTCCTCAGCGTGAAGGTCAGCGCATGCCTGTGTGGGTACAAATGTGTAGATGGTCCCTCAGTCAAGATGACCACTATACCTGAGAAGGAACAGATGGCTTGTGGGCGCCACCGCTTGGCACAGTGTTCCTCAGCGTGAAGGTCAGTGCATGCCTGTGTGGGTACAAATGTGTACATGGTCCCTCAGTCAAGACGACCACCATACCTGAGAAGGAACAGATGGCTTGTGGGCGTCACCGTTCGCATAGTGTCCCTCAGCCTGAAGGTCAGCGCATGCCTGTGTGGGTACAAATGTGTAGATGGTCCCTCAGTCAAGACGACCACCATACCTGAGAAGGAAAAGATGGCTTGTGGGCACCACCGGTTGGCACAGTGTCCCTGTTCGAGTGAAACACATTTGGACTCTAAGCGACATAAGTGATATTCTTTTCAAGCCCGATATATACAGAACTGGGATTCTCAATCATTCACACCCTCTCATGCACGGAATGTAAACGTCTTCGTGCACTACATCCCCGGCACAGTCCATGCACGTTTGTTCCAGCATCTGTGTAATGTTACCATTCTAAATCTGTACGTGGTGTTGACGGAGGTGTTTATTGGGAAGCTTTCCCTCATTACTTAGTTTACTGATCCGTCGACCCCAATTTCACACACGTACAATAAAAGCATCGCAATTTCAGGATCTAAATTCCAGTGACAGATATGTATTGATTCCATGAAACCAGGGATTCTCAGAATTAATGTCAATAAAGAACGAGTTTCATACTAGGAAGGAACCGACTATTTACAATAACTCTCTTGACTGAACGTTTGGGAGTTTGATGTTGTTTTGAGCCAAAGCCAGTAATATTGTTTAACGCAACAGTCAGTAGTATTCTATCTTTGCTACCTATGCCAAATTATTTCGTGTTCAGACAAAAGCAATGGTTGCTATTGTGGCAACATCCACATTATCGGGGTACAGATGTAAACGTAACCCCAAAGACCGTTGCCCGTGACTCCTTGCTGTGGGCATCTCGGTCCTTTCTTCCATATTCAGCTGACACGATATAACTGGAAAACTGATCAAAGTGAATTTGACCCCAGTTCAATCAGTCACACTTTTGGTTATTTTGGAAAACCGTGTATGTACTCATTCGTCTGTTACGATTCACTCGCCTATTCGGTAACTCGAACCGTATCCGTTCTTGAGTTCAGTTCATTATTTGCCATCTCTAGACTATTCATGATATTTAAATACAATAATTTTATACAGTGTAAATTCAATTTGAGTGTTTGCGAGATTTGCTAAATGGAATATATCTAAGCCAGGCAGGACAATAGTCAACATTCCTATATAAATTGACATTAATGTGATCACTGGTTATCAGTGACTTAACACTGTCAACATGTCAGAGAATTTGCTGTTATTTGACTGACTATAATGAATAATTCATCAACTACTGGCTTGTTTTTGTATTTTGTATTGGTAAACCAATTTCGTATTCGTTATTGCATATTCTTGACATGGGTCAATCGTCTCATAGTTTACTCGTTGCAGTCATTATACTTAGCAGAAACCACAAAACATAAAAGGATCTGAAAGATAAGCTTGTTCAAAGAACAACTATGTGGTGTTTGGGGAATTGGGACGGTGGGGTAGCCTTGAGTCCCCCTCCGTGATGTTACTGGAATATTGCAATGCTTAAATCTCACTCACTCACTCACTCTGAGTAGACTTGGAGCATGGCCCTTATTCTCGAAACGTTCGTAGTCCTAAGAATTCTGAACTTTGATCGTTGGCAATGTGTTGAGAATGGACTTAAGAAGTTCGCAGGGCTACGAACGTTTCGAGAATAGCTAGCCATGTGTGGGGAAAGTTAGTCAACACACGATGCGTACGACATCGAGGTGCGGAGACTGGGTCACCGTGTCCACCTGATCCTAATTTGTCTTTGGAGTCAGCTAAAACGGGACACAGAGCGCAGAGCAGTTTCTTCTGTCCCGGAATCCCCACGATGCTCCTGATATTCCTGGAATGGCGTCGATTCGTGGAGGTGTTAATACCGAGAAAGCCGACCCCAATTGCACTGATTCCCTGATTCCCTTCTTCTGGAGGGATGCTGAATAGAGACGGGGATATGCCAAATAATATCGCAAAGTATGGGAGGTCTCGGATTCCAGAAAGCTAAACCTTGATCATTTCTGGAGTGATGCTGACTAGAGATGTGAATAAGTGAAATAGTATCGCTAAGTATGGGAGCATCATCGGATTTGTTCTGGCTAAAAGTTATACGAACCATGTTAGAATTGGCCCAATAAATGTTATAGGAACAGAATATAGCAGCTCAATCACGAATGTTCCAAAGAATATAGTATATGTCATCAAGATGTTTTATATCTCTTCCTTAACACTTTTGGCCTGGTAATTGCAACAAGAAATAGAGGAGCAGAAAATAAAACTACCTTTTTTAAACATGAACGAATGGGTTAAAAATGACTGACTTGCTTTCATTTTTAAGTATTCAAAATTTCTTAAGCACTTAAGATTCCAGCCTCGGTGGCTCACTGCCTGCCTACTGTGTACAGGCAGTTGGTGCCATACGTTGGGTTCGAATCTCGGATTGAACCCAAACAAAGCCGAGAATTTGTACTTCACTTATATGAAAGTAATTAACTATAGACGACTTAAAAATATTGCCAAGGTTAAAATGCTTTGTCGTTTCATTTCAGTTTGATCGCGCCATCGGTCCTGAAAAACAACGTGGGTCCTGGGTCCAAGGCCACGGTAAACCTCGTGGTGAACAGTGTGGTCGGGGTCGACCTGTCCGCCACACCCCTCAAGTTGGGCAGGATAGTCTCCCTCGCAGCTACTGCCACCACGAGTGAGTGTTAAAAAACAAGCTAATTATTATATATATATATTTTAGCGCAACAATCGGAACATATATAATCCAGCTTCATGCCGACTTCGAATAAAGGAATGTGGCCCAGACAGCCCTGTGATTGATATCATGAGCATCGATCTGTGACATGCATCAACCGAGTCATCAAGCATGGCCACCATTTCCCCTTCGTCAAGTACAAGAATCGTGGGTTTCTGGGGACAAAATATAACCTGACGTTAATGGGGTTCGGAAGCAAAACATACTGAACTTAACAAATCTGCATGTGGCGATGACACATTGATTAACTCTTTGCTACATGGTCCCTAGTATGGTGATCTACCTTCTGTTGTTGGCTGTCTATAGCCTGTGTTTATATTGTATTGTCCAAATAGTGCTCTTAATTTTAACTTTTCACGCTAGTTTAAATTCTAATTGTGATATTCTAGTTGTTTTACTGTCCTTCGTCGACAGGTTTTTATAATATACATATATTCCATTTCAATGTCAAATATGTTCTCGTCACGATATGGCAGAAATATTGCCGATGTGACGTTAAATATTAACTCACTCACTCACTTTGCTACATGAAAACTCGATGACGTAATTCTGGAAACATGTACCACTGCAAGTGCCTCTATTTCCTCGATGGTTGCCGAATGACCCACACAATATGGATGCGTGTCCTTCAACCATCACATTGAATGTGTGATTTTGTTTTAGCTGAATGTAAATACTTTTGACACCCGGGTTGATTCAACTCACGATGTCATCATTGATAATATGCTACCAATTCCAGTGAATGGAGCTTCGATCTGATCCAGTGTGTCGTTTGTTCAGATGGACTTGTATGAAGGCAGTTTCGCAATGTTAAACTCCATTTCGTCACCTCTGTCATAATCCAATGTTCTGTTGACCTCCAACCTATATTACCGATCTTCTGTTGACCTCCAACCTATGTACTGTAGACAGCAATCGTATGTTACCGATGTACTGTTGACCTCAAAGTGATGCGCGACCATGCTTGAGTGTACTGTTAACTCCGCTAGTCATGCGGAAGGTGTAGGTACCGCACGTATACACATTCTGCGTGTCCCGCATATATAGAAACGACTGGGATATCGCGAAAAGCAACATAAAATCATAAAATCACTCGCGCGTTATATGTACAGCAAACCTACATTTGCACGTAAAATACACATGAACGTTTTAGGTAGGGAAGTGTATCCAGATCATGGCACAAACCCCACAGTCCATAATTAATGTAGTCATGTAGATCTTCTCTGGGAAGAGGCATGAGATGGTGGAGGCATGCTACCTATGATCTCAACACGTTCAAAGCACCTGGCGCGGGCGTTTGTCAATATCAAATCCTTACAGAAGCACTTCCCTCACTCGAAACACCGTTCTCTGTAACACCCATGCTTACATTCAACTCCGTCATCAGCTGAGTCTTAATTTGAAAGTTTGTGTGTGTTATTTGGAAAAGCAATGCTTTTCGTATAATGAGGTAACGTTTTTAACTTGTTATGTTGTGACACAGAATGTTCATGGGGCGATGGTTTAGGCAAGTGGTTACAGCGCTCGCTCGAAATTACAAAGACCCAGGTTTGATTCCCCACAGGGATACAAAGTTTAAGTCCCAGATCTGGTGTTATCGCCTCTGATATTAATGGAATGTTTTAAAAAGAGACATTAATCCATACTCGCCCACTCAAATGTTAAAACTGCGAAAATGTCCGTCACATATTTCAGTTTCATGCCGTTGGCCTCTTGAGGCAGGAATAGATATTCATTTCACAACAAAACTTTACTCCCCATTTCTTTCAAATCTTCCTCCAAAACACAAACCGATTCCATATGTTTCAAATGATGATTATGATGTGTATGTTTACAATGCGCCAAATCCATACCCTAAAGCATACACAAAGCGCTACATTGTACACGCGATTTTCATTAATTTTGAACACCTAGACGGCCAAGATGCCAGTTTCTAATGTGGTCCTCGACCCGTGAAGATCCGGGGCAGAATAGGTCTTCAGCAACCCATGCTTGGCACAAAAGGCGATTATGCTTGTCGTAAGAGGCGACTAACGGGATCGGGTGGTCAGGCTCGCTGACTTGGTGACACATGTCATCGGTTCCCAATTGCGCAGATCGATGCTCATGCCGTTGATCACTGGATTGTCTGGTCCAGACTCGATTGTTTACAGACCGCCGCTATATTGCTGGAATATTGCTGAGTGCGGCGTACAACTAAACTCACTCACTCACTAATGTGGTCCTCAAAACGTTGTTTCGTTACATTTTTTGTTTCGTTAAGTTTTGGTTTTCAATTTTACAGCAGTTCACTCTCCATTTTTAACCATTTTTTGACTTGGTCCAAGTCGGTGTTAATTAGTAAAATATATGAATAGTTCACATAAAACTCGCCAACTCACGTATTCTCACGTGAATTAGTGCTATTGTACTTAGTACTCCGTGATATACCCTGAAGAAAATAATAGCACCAATGAACCTTATGTTCGATAAAATCAAATTAATCAATCAATATGATAATCAATGTTAATTCAAGAGGGTTCAACTCAATTAAATTCTGAAAACCTATAATTTATAATTTCAGGTGGAAGTGAAGTTGGCGTCCGACCGACTTCTTGTGACGCCATCAGCGGTCAGCAACGTTACGCCATCCTGAGAGCAGGGTAAGCCCATTATATGTAGATTACTTAGTTAAAGCGTTCCCGTGCTCATCACATGTTTTGCAGACTTTTTCACATCGCCTTGATTGAGAACTAGACATTCTACCGGGATAAGCTTTTCCTGCTGGAAATAGGCTAATTTAAACATAGAGCCAGACCTCGTTAACCTGTTGGTGGTCTGCACCGGCTCTGCTGTTGCCAGCCTTTTAAACACTTCCTGTCCAACGAACACGTGTCCGTAGATATTGAATCGGCGCATTGTGAAGTAACAGGCTTTGCAGAATCAGCACTGGTTATGAACCAAAGGCTTGTAATCATGTAATGCAGATGATTTCTGAATAGATGATCAAATATCTATTGCCATTTCTTTATTCAAATGTTATCGACGTGACTATTACTGTAATTTGGGTAGGCAAGTGGTTAAAGCAGTTGCTTGTCACGCCCATGACCCTAGCCTGGTTCGATCCCCGTTTGATTTCCCCATAGGTACAATATGTGAAGGTGGCCACAGTGAGATTAATATAATACACAATCAGCATTACTACTCCAGGTTGGAACATCTGTGGTCAACGCCTACTGTTACTTTTGTTTCAGATGCGGGGATGGAATTGTTTTTAACACAACTGATGGTTTTGTTACAAAAGGTCTGACCACCAGAAGTCCTTTCTTTGAAATGTTTACCATGGGAGGGAGTTCCAGCGTAAAATTCGAATGCAACTTCACGTTGTGTAGCAAGAACTGTGATGGGGTAAGTTTTCAATTGGAGGAGCAGTACTGGCTGATGTCATGAAGATCTGGTCGCCAGTAACCTATACGTGTCGTGAAAGTCTGTGACACCAGGGTGTCAGGCTCACTGAAATATGTCAAGTGCGAAGATCGAAGCACATAGCATCAGTCAATGTCGTGTCAGGGTACCGGTTCTGATCCACAAAGCCTTCGTAAAGTCACGACCTGTCGTAACTCTATGGTTTATCATAGGCTTACGAATGTCATAGTGCTACGGACGTTTTGTGGATCGGATCCCTGGTCCGGATTCGATTAACACACCGCTGTCATGTAGAAATGAAGATCGGTTGGCTATGGTTTCTGAGCTGGCTGATAGCAGTTCTGAAACAAGCGTTTCACCCATGCCTGCTCCCTTATTATCATCCTCTGTTCCTCCATGAGAATTCCGGATTTTCAATCTGAAAATCCGGGTTAGAATTTGTCTTCCGCAACCCATGCTTGTCGATAGCTTTCACTTATCACGCCGAAAACCGAGGTTCGATTCCCAAATAGATGCAATGTGTTAAACCATCATGGGTGCTCCTGCCTGGATATTGCTATAACCTAGCTAAAACCAAACTTACGACTAACATAATTAGCATATCAAATTAACTGTGTTGACTAACACTGTACATTAATATTTGATACCGACTAACGATACGACAGGAGAGAGTTCAATATTGCACACTCACTAACTTAAGCGCTGCCCCTGCTTACATTCCCTATTTTCGTGTCACTATATCATGCATTTACCCTGAAAGCTGGCTCAGAACTACACCATGTCTGCCGTCGTTCTTCATAAAGTATCCAGGCGTAAAGTATATGGTACCAGCAACACATCTTAAAACAATTGGAACGCATTTGACGAAGGTTTGGAGTTCTTGGCTGTTTCGAGGAGGCATCCAATAGTTAACAGAACACATTAATAAGAACTTGGGCGACTTTCAAATTGTTGTCTGAAGATATGAATATGTGCAGTGTTTTATATTGATGGCATGGTCCTTCTTTGAAATGCTTTGCAGGGAAAATACTCACTGTCAGTCTGGATTAGGAAGAGCATGTGTGTTGCAGTGGTTGAAAGTGTTCGTTTAGGCCTTTTACAATTTTAAAGTTGCTGGAAACAGTGATCGAGAGCTATGACAATTTCATTTTATAATATAATTAAACGTTTGTTGGGCTCAGTGCGATTCTGCATTCTGATTGGTTGAAGTGGTCACATGTTATTGCATTCATTTCCCTTTGAACATTGACTACTTTCACAACTACGGATTGTCGGAAAATCCTTTTTCCACCATTATTCCACATCGCACTACCTTTGTTATTGACAGGAGTATATTACATTGTCAAAACGAGAATCCGAATCCGAATCTGTATCTGGAGGCACGCAGATTGAAATGGTATTTACGCCCATAACTCTGTCATGGTTGTCCAAAAGGTTTGTTCAGTTATGTTTACAATTATTTTGTTATTATTAACTTTGGCGTTTGCTCGTAAACTACTGAAAGTTTGACACGGTAAACGAGCTAACCCTTGGAACACTGGGGTGACCTGAAATAAATGGGGTGAAAATGTGACCTGGCACCAATGTTTCTCCTTATGAAACCTTCCTTCATATATCATACAATATGGGTATATGTGTGTCTCCCGTACTGAAGGAAACCTTCGTTAAAGGCTGTTTTTATTCACAGAAACTGTATGACAAATGTGATTACATATGCAGGTGAGCTACAGTATCGTGGCTCTACTTGACATTCCCGATGTCTTATCCTTACGAGTTATCTTTTCACGTGGGTAATATTCAATTCATCACGAAACGTCATTCTTGAAATATTTCATTCTGGAATCAGTAATTTCAGAAATCACATTTGAATAAAATACTGTAATCAGCTGCCCCGTTCGTCATACAGTGACAGATGATTTGCAGCCATGTCTGTTTCCCGTAACTCCCACACATGTGGAGGTGGTTTCAAAACGTACTGGGAATGTTGGGCTACAGCTTATTGACCAGACACTGCACTGATGTTTGGGGCTGAAGAATGTAGATATTCCATTGCACACTATCGGTAATACTTCTGGGTATTAAAGGTCGGTGGGCGATTGTGTCAAAAGAACCATTGGGGAACTGTCTTTGAACTGTGCTTCATGAACCAATGTATGTATGAGTGAGTGAATTTAGTTTTACGCAGTTTTTAGAAATATTCCAGCTATATCACGGCGGGGGAAATCAGAAATGGACTTCACACAGTGTACCCATGTGGGGAATCGAACCTGGGTCATCGGCGTGACGAAATAACCACCAGGCTACCACCACTGCCCCAGCCATAGAAGTGGCGAGCAACGACACAGATTGCCAGGCTCTCATGCATGTCATAATTTCCAAGCTGCGTCAATCGTTGCTCATGTCAGTCACAGGAAGCATCTGGTCCAGAATCTAATAGTTGCAGACAGCCGTCATTTCTCTGGAATATTGCTGAGTACGGCGTTAAAAACAAAAAGGACCCAACAAAAATAGCCTACCACTCCCTGGATCCATTCCCGTCATGTCGACTTACCCGTCCTTGATTCTTAATAGCCAGTTTGTTTATCGCTGCTTAGGTAGTCCATTGAGAATGCGTCACTCAGTACCATTATTTTCGCTAGGTTTTGAGGCATTTGGAATGTGACAGGTATCAGCTGTCATACTAAAGGTATCGATATATCACCCATCGCTTACTGCTTGAAGCCAAAATTCATCGTGAAAGGCAACATGTCTTGTGCGTCGTACATGTTAACTCTAACCTATTGTTTTAGCTATTTAACATTATATATGAGATCTGAACAGTGCTGAAGTACTGCTTCGCAGTGGATGATTACATTTCATGGCACGGTGGCCTTGTCATCCACCCTTGAAGATCCAGTTTAGAATTGGTATTCAGTAACCCATGCTTGTAAGTTGTAAGAGCATACTAACAGGATCCGGTGGCCAGGCTCGCTGACACGTCATCGTATCCCAATTGCGTAGATCGATACTCATGCTGTTGATCACTGTATTGTCTAGTCCAGATTCGATTATGTAAAGACCGCCGCTATATAGAGGTCATATGGCTGAGCGTTAAAAAAACAAAACCAACCAACCTTGACATCCATGTCGTGGTTCGAATCCCAATTCGCCCCAATGTTTCCATTTCTGGGTTTGGCAGCGCCATACCTGAGCACTTGGTTGGTGAACCTCAGATGCCCGCTTCGCTTCAAGCTTTTCTCCCATGATACGCCGTAATGTAACTGAGATACCATTTAAATCAGCTTAAACCCATCCCACTCTCATGACATGTTCTGATATATTGCTGAGATGCTACTGATTACGCCGTTTACAGAGTTCCTGCGTCAATGGGAGAAACCGACGATCTCAAGTGGAGGAATCAAAGATAAAAGGTACGTACTTAATCTGTGAATGAAAAAAAGAAACATTAATAGGCGATGGCTACAACCTTGATGTGTAGAATTCAACAATATTGTAATCTGTTTAAAAAGCGATATCACATGGCAATAACGACAACCGTATAGGAAACGACAGCCCCATAATGACACTTTGGGTTCTGTACATTTTATCTCTTTGCTCTTAACAGGGAAAATGCTCAAGCCTCCGTTACCCACAAACCACTAACTGTCCTTACTTTTGATAGGGGTTAATAAATTGAACATTTACTGGACTGTCAGTCCGTTTGATTTTCTACACTTTTGCTTCAGATTATTTGTTCGACTTAATAGCACAGACCTTGCCGATGACGCCCTCGAACATCAGAAACAATTTACAGTACCGGACAAGACACGGTCGAATAGGCGCCATTAGACGGAGATCCCGACTGAGCAAACGCTGACATTTGTTTAAATCACATGTTAATTTGTTATGTTCGAAGTAAAAAGGAAGGATACATTTTTGCCTTACTGATTATTGGAAGAACGTGTATGTTTGCTTGCAACATTCCACATACATGACGGCCTGTCAATACACGAACCTGGAACAGACAATCCTTGTCAAGAGCATCGATCTTCCCAATCGGGACACGACACGACCACATGTCCCTACAAGATCCGGGTAAGAATTGGTCTTCCGCAACCGGTGCTTGTCGCAAGAGGCGACTAATACGATCGGGTGGTCAGGGTCGCTGCCTTTGTGGACATATGTCATGGTATACCAAATGCGTTGATTGATGCTCCTGCTGTTGATCCTGTATTTTCTCTATTTACAGACTGCTGCCGTATAGCTGGAATAATGCTCAATGCGGCGTAAAACAACAAGCAAATCAAATGAAATTATCTCCCTTAACCCACGTGAAATTGAGCAATTACGTAACTTGCATCATCTTGCACGGTTATATAAAAAAACCCTCGAAGCCTGCTAATGATGGAAAGCGAACAGAATACTGTGTGCGGTGGCCTTGATGTGTGGCCAGAGGTGATAGAGATGCTGCAGCTATTATTAATGAGATTCAGAAGAATGCTCAGGTGCTGTGAAGGAGCTGGAGGATGTTGTCGTAATCAATGCGGACAGCAAAGACTCGTCTGATAGCTGTTCAGTGATATGGAGGCTAATAGGAAGATGAAAGGTATATCTGTTTTAAAGTGTTTCAAATGTGTTTTGCTTGTGTGTATTTATTTTACGCCGTACTCAGTAACAGAGTAGCATAGTGATTGATCGGCATTCTCGAAGTTGGTGAGTCAGATACGAAGCACAACTTTCAAAACGGTGTAAGACCGTACATCGAATCGTAGCTTTATTATCAACAAGACGATTTTCATACTTTATTGGTCTTTATTACAGTAACTATTACAGTGGTCTCTGAACAGTCGTTTAGACCATACGTTAAAGTGACTGGACTTAATGAGTATAGATCCGCGCAATAGGGAATTGACATACAATCAGCCATGTCCCGAACATAACTCTCCATTTTGACACCTTTAACAAGCACTACTTTGGGTGTAAAGATAGTGCCTCCAACATACTAAATCAAGAACAGTTGTCCTTAAAAGTTTTATGAAAGTTCGTTGAATGTAAGTACTATTTGTTTCGGATTGATAACATTTCTTCCACTGAACAAATGTTAGAACATAATGAGCTCATGACGACTTGGCTAATTAGCTTGGCTAATGTTGTAGATTTAGCTAAATCCCTCTGGACACACTTTCTCCATTAAATTACTCCTTGCAAAGATTAAGCAAACAGCTGCCCACATGCAGACGAGTGGTTGCCTGTACACGTTATCGTCTAAATACGGATCAGTGACTTGCGAAAGCGCAGTCAACGGAACGCCGATTCATGCCCGTCTTCCTCCACGGGACCTATGGCAGATCGGAATGGGCACAGATCTGCAATGGTAGATTCACAGATAACTGAAACAGAATACCCGTCCTTGTGATCTTGTACGTTTGTACACAGCTTGTGTAGAAGGCAACACGACTGTACATCACTTCTCCGTGTAGAAATACAACGAGTATGGAGGTGAAAACGGTGGGTATTATGTAAGAAGATCCTGGTGTTCAAAGGGGACGCAACACCTGTTGGGCCACACTTGTCAGTGTACAAGTCCAGTGTATAAAACCGTTGGTTTTTTTCAAATGCACAAGTGTTTTGCAACGATTAGTGGACGTCCTGGGAGGTCCAATTTACATACAATATGCACATAACTTGACTTGAGGCTAATGCACACGGGTCGCCTTGTGTCTTAGTCTAATTTTTCATGCCAAGGTACGTTCCTTAAGAAGTAACATAATCTTTGATCATGGGGGTCGAATGGTGGTTCGTGTTATCTATTTTTCTAGGTGTGTCAACAACAGATCAATGACTTAGGTTTCAACAAAGTGGTAAACATATAAGACATCTATCACTCAGAGCAATCCTCACATCTGCATTAAGTTGCAGGCACGCCTGATGTAACTGAAAGTCAGTTCTGAGAAGCCAAAGGCGACCTGTCCTTCACTCTACTAATATTTATTAACATTAATCAATCAGTTCAATGTTTGAAGTATTAAGACAACTGAGTTTCACTGCATAACCATATCTCATCAAACGAAGATACAAAGTTTGCCCGATGAAGTTCTGATACTCAAATCTTGTGTTGTAAGGACCTCTTCAGACTTCACGACTCGAATGAACCACCGATTTCCATGATTGACTTTCCAAGTTTTTTTTCTCAAAAGGGACAGGGCAAAAGCTGTGTTAGTTTTTGCAATGTACGTTTTAAGGAGCACGTATTGGTACGAAATGAAAACGTTAGTCGCCAACGTAATTTCGATCAATGTCGGTCCACTCCTTCACGTCCACAACCCTCTAATTGAAATCGGAAAGCTATCACGGTAAAGCTGTGCTTAATGACAACGGGATCTTGGACAAAAGATCTAATATGCGACGTCGCTTAGACGGGACTTCAACTCTCTCAAAAAGAATTCGCAGCAACTTAGGGATCGCTGGTCGACAGTGTCTGTATGGGACGCCGTACCCTCACACGATGAACTGGTTTGATCGTCCCTTGAATAAACTGAAGCTGTATCTAGACGCACCAGACCTCGTTTAATGGATATCCATAGATGGCTCTTTGAGAACTTCAGTGAGTACGACTTCTCATGTCTGAGTGCCAACGCACATGAAATAAGTGTGGCTACAAATGAATCTCTTTCAAGCTTTTAGGTCTATTGCATTTCCGTCGGTTGGGGTCTGAAATTAAACACGTTGCAGTAGTTACGGTTGTTTTTAAAGGCCGTCAGTTCTTGTGGATCATATATACGAACATAAAAATGAAGTGTAATTCAGTCAAAGTGCTAAAGTTTACGAAAATCGAAGAATACACTATAGAAATAATGGAACTATTTCTCTTAAAGGTTGATGATGAAATAGCTGAAGTACGATAAAAAAAATATAACAAACTGACTTTGTAACTATACATAAGGGCATAGTTTGGTTGAGTTAGTGATAGGGACAACCAAGCGTGTTGCTACGCATTAGCAAGAGACAACCATCGGGATCTGGTAGACAGAATCACTAATTTTATCCGTGAAGATCCGGGTTAGAATTTGTCTTCAGTAACCCATGCTTGGGTAAGAGGCGACTAACGGGATCTGGTGGTCAGGCTCGCTGACTTGGTTGACACATGTTATCATATCTCCATTGCTTAGATTGATGCTCATGCTCTTGAGCACTGGATTGTCTGGACCAGTCTCGGTTATTTAAAGACCTCTGCCATATGTGTGGAATATTGGTGAGTGCGACGTTAAACAACAATCAAATAAACAAAGAATCACTTATTTGGTTGATTTCAACGTTTTCAAATTGTGATGATCGATGCGCGATCACTGGTTGTCTGGTCGAGATTCATATACTGTCAGAACACCACCACATATGTGGAATGTTGAAGTTTATACATTATTCAACTGTCTATTGTTTCGAATGTAGATTGTGCGAAGCAGACGGGTAGTTTTCCTTTGCCCCGTGCTTGAATATGTAACCTTGCACATTGTTTACCATCGTACCCATCGGCGTGGAACGTTGTGGGAAATCTGATAATTAGTCTCCCTAGTCACGAAGTCAATAGTGTGGATATGAAGTTGTAGAGTGGTGTAAAACAACATCCATCCACTCATTCAAATTCAGATACTGCCCACTGGCCTAGAGCTCTAAATACTAATAGTGCCACCGACAGCATAGCTCCGGCAAAACAAATTGCATTTGCATTAGGTACTGATAGCGGAGAAAGTGGTGCCTGCACATGAATAAAGATCCCGGAAGAATTTCAACATAAGCGTTATTCATTCCGGAAGCCGTCTTCACAGACAGCATTTACTCTCTAGAACCGTCTGCAGTTTGGGAACAATATCTCTTCAACGTGGATTCGTCCACAGGCGCTGAGGTTGGCATCGGTCACAACATGAACAATACCTGGCAATCAGCAGCGACCTACAACGGTGATAGATCCTTCAGTCAGCGCTGTGTAAACCAATAAGCGTGCCTGTGTTGAAATATGGAGATTTAATGGAACTTTCATGAAATACTGTACAACGTTACCATGTCGGGACGTGTCCTTGAGAATACATATTCCCTAGGAATATTGTGGCAGAATGGATCCCCGCTTATCGCATTGGTAATCAATACAATGATCGAGTAAAGGAAGTGTCTGGCCGAAACTGACTGAATCTGTGTAAGGGGATAGGGAGGTTAGGTAATGCCTTGAGTAAGTTAAAGGATCTGTCAGTCATATTACATTTTTCCATTTTTTTTTAATTAAAACTTCGTTTATGCTTTTTGTACAAGTGCAAGGTATGTGGTTAACATTTATATCTTTAACAAAAAATCCCTTCTACGTTTTTAGGCAAAAATGGAAGCAAATGTCACCTTAAAGTTACTGAAAAAAAAAAGGTATGTGAAATACTTGTCTTCGTTTCAAACATCTATGTAAGGTAATGCTGACAAGAAATAGGTATTCCCCTACGGAGATATTGAGCTCACTTCCTTGCGAATCCGTTTCCTCATGCATTTGAATCAGTAGTTCTGCTCAAATTGGCAAACTCAAAGCAAACGTGATTTGGTCAAGACGTTTAATTAGGCTCCTGGAACAGTCAAACAGTTAAAATGCCGCCTTTTGTCCAAGAACATATGGTGTTATAGCCAAGGTGGCATAACAACAACGGGCGCGGTGGGGTAGCCTAGTGGTTAAAGCGTTTGCTATTCACGCCGAAGGCCCGGGTTCGATTCCCCACATGGGTACAACTTGTGAAGCCCACTGCTGGTGTTCCCCGCCGTGATATTGCTGGAGTATTGCTAAAAGCGGCGTAAAACCATACTCAATCAGTCATAACAACAACGAGAGCCAAATCCCTCTATTTTACGATCATCTGATATCAGTTGGCATTTTTTACATATACCATCTGATCCGTATTCAAATG